AAAAGATGGTATCAACATTCAAGATATAGAAACAATGATATTTGTTAAAACACATTATCCACAAATAGGTCCATACATGGCTTTGATTATTACACATTGTGAAGAAGCAAGTGAAGAAAGACGACAACAGAATATCGACGACTTTTTTGAAGCTGCCGATGTAAAAAAACATAACTTAAAAGAATTTTTTGGGCTTCAAATTTATTTCATGGGTTGTTTAAGACCAGAGACAAAGGAAGCACGTAATATACAAGCAGCCAGAACAGAGTTAACATATGTAGCTAAAATGAGAGAAAAATTTATTGACTTTTGTATTAGTCGTGGTGATGATCAAATTTATAATATTAATTATGATTCAAATAATGCTCAACAATCAGGATGTACAATATCATAGAACAAATCTCAATCATAACTATTGTTGTTGCGTCTGAACCATTTTCTTTAAAATACATCCTTTTTCACGTGGTTGTAGTTGGTCTAAAAGTTACAACAGAATTCAAAAGCATCACACACATTTATAACTATGTATCTTTTGAAATAAAAAAAATAGATAAAAATCGCTGAGGCTTAAAAATTCTAAGACGAACTAACTAAAGATTATTTTAAAGCTATTTATTAGATGACTAGGATCGAGCACATTGTAGATGTCCTTTATTGTATTACTATTACTTGTTCTATCCTTATGATACTAAAATCGAATGAGGAAGGGTATGAAGGCTGGAGGAATATATGATAACAAACTGTGCATGTGTGAGGGAAAATATGTATCAGTACAAAAAATGATCTACAGGTAGCGTGACCTTTTTAAGGACGTAACGAGTAAATCAATTTTACGTTGAACACATTATCGCTTCCTTTTCTTTCCATGGAAAAAACAGATAAGAAAGTATGTTTTGACCCGGAATCACACTCAGGACGCTCTGGCTACAGGCCAGAAGCTCTAACCACTGAGCTATCGAGATATGACTTAACACACTCTTCAAATGGTTTCGCTATATCTGGGTACGTCGTACACTTCGTGTGAACGCGAGCACTTTCGGTGATTAAGTCGCACTTGCTCAAAATGGCTACAATATCAATTAATGGTACGACAAAACAAAAAGCACGTTTGAATATTGATGGTTTCTCATATATAAAAGATCGCAGTATGATTGAAAAAACATATTGGCATTATATTAATTATTTTTCTCAAAATTGTCACTCTCGTCTTCATACATGTATTATTACGAATAATATTGACAAACCTGCTACTGAATAGTTGTGAAACTGATGGTACAGCAATTGAACTTCGTAAATTTCACGAACAAGTGGTCTATCGTGCTCTTAATACTCAAGAAACACTGGATCTTATCGTGGCACATTGTTGTACAGGTATATCACTGAAATTTATTAAGTTTCTACAGAAGAACGTTTAATAGTATTTATAGGTATGCAGCAGTTACAGCTTAAGGCCGCCCTCCCCTCCAAAATCGATTTTCGATACAGTGCATGACGTTGTTACGTAACTTTCCACAAATGTTAGGCACATCAAACAAGTTGTGAAATTTTTCTTTCACCACCAGACTTCAGCGTTCAGGAGTTTTCTAGAGACCAAGGCGCAAAATGGGCCACCTGTCCGTGCAAATTCCTTTTCACTATACTTCAAAGTGCAGAACCCGGGGTTATTTTATTTGAAGGTTTACTCCATCGGATGAGGGGAAAGGATGTTTTTATTCTTGCTTTCTTTAAATTTGGGGAGGATCAAAACCTCGAAATACCATCAGAGGTCTTCCGGACAGACGAGGTTTTCTACAGAACTAAAGCCTAATTAAAAAATTCCTAAAAAAAATGAAATTTTTCTTTCACCACCAGAATTTGTGTTACATCATTTTTAATACATCTATTAATATGATCTTGTATTTGTTCATTTGATAATTTTGTTTCTGATGATCTTGCTGTTTCATAAAAGCCTGGTGTATCAATTACATTAAAATGAAATACGGTGTTAGATTGAATGAGTGTTGATGCTATTTTATGA